ACCAAAAATTTTCTTGTACGCTCCGCGCCAACCGATGGTGGCGCTCCGCTCAGATACTCGTGCCTACAACTTTTAAAATCCTGGCTACGCCCCTGACTATAACGCACCGCCTATGATATTGCATGTTCATTTCTGGTTGTACACATAAAGCTGTGTATACTCGCTCCTTAGTTGACTATCACTATAACTGACTTCATCTACATGAAGCACAGTGAATTGGACCCACGACTGCTGAACGTGTTCGTTTAGTTATATTTACGATTACACTTGGGTTAACGTTTATGTTAGTGTTAGCGTTAATGTCAGGGTTAGGATTAATGTCAGGATCAGCGTTAGCGCTGGGTTAGAGTTAAGAATTAGTGTTAGGGTTAGATTAAAGAGTTAGTGTTAGGGTTAGAGTTAGAGTTCAGGTTAGGGTGAGGGTTTCTGCAGATAATCTTGGTAACTAACAATACACAGTGTGTTGTATGTTTAGGCATTTGACAATACACTGTGTATTGTTAGCGAGCTTTCAACAATACACTGTGTATTGTTGAACACCTTCTAACAATACACGTTGTATTGTAGTAGGCACCTATGAGCTTTCAACAATACACTGTGTATTGTTGAACACCTTCTAACAATACACTGTGTATTGTAGTAGCTAGGTACCTATGAACTTTCAACAATACAGTGTTTATTGTTGAACACCTTCTAACAATACATTTTTTCCCCTTTTTTTAATTAGTTTACTTTTTGATTTGTAAACTTGAAATTGACATTTATTTAAATAAATTTATTAAAATTATTTGATTGTTTTTATTGAATTTATTGAAAATGAAATTGATTTTAAATACACAGTTGTTAGGTACCTACTACAATACACAGTGTATTGTTAGAAGGTGTTCAACAATAAACAGTGTATTGTAGAAAGCTTATAGGTACCTACTACAATACACAGTGTATTGTTAGAAGGTGTTCAACAATACACACTGTGTTGTTGAAAGTGTATTGTTAGTTACCAGGATTATCTGGTTATAGAGTTAGGGTGAGGGTTAGGGTTATGGGGAGGGTTAGGGTTAGGGTTAGGGTCAGGGTTAGAGTGAGGGTTAGGGTTAGGGCTAGGGTTACTCGCATGACGTACAAACAGAGAGCAGTATAGGTCCAATTCAACTAGCTAGCACCCAATTATCCTTACCCGATGACTATCTCTGTTTTGTCAATGGTTCTGCTACACAAATATTTTGGTCAAAACACATCTAAATAACCCTGCAGTCTAGTTCTTAAATGTGGTTAACCTATCTTGTAGCGACGACATTGCTACTGGTACAGTGTTAACTCCGACATAGGCATGGTAAGGGTTAGCCATGCACCACACCATCAGCTCAGGGCCTTTCACCCACCCACGCGACTTCTCATGTGTGGCTGGAGAGTTACATCTTCTTCTCAAATAACATGGTTCGGCATGCCTCAATGCGATGATTTCCGTGGTTACTACAATGCTGTGTTGCATAGTGCCCGGGAACTAGTGTTTGCGTTGTGTCTCTCTGTGTGTATATATGCGTGCGTGTGCGATGAAGGATTGGCGGGCGGCCGTTATAAATGACCAGAAGGCAAAAAACATCAAACGTTTAATATCACTTGTACATAAACGTACTTTGTCGTCATGCAGTCTCTGTCTTCCACAGCTGCTGTCCTCTGACGATATGCTTCTACACGGTGGGGCAAGATGCTACCTAGATAAAACGAATACCTCAAGTTACCAGTCTTATATTTTGTTGAACGACCAAACGCGTGTAAAAAATACAAGCCGATTACTTTTTTAATTATGTCGTCAGTCTGGACTGCACGGCTGAAACGGTGCTCGCGTATCTCCCGATAAGAATGATGTTTTGCGAAAATTATAAATTTAAAATGGAGAGGAGGTATTCTAACATAGGTTTATATGTTAACATTTTATCGGTAGAACTTTATGACGGAATCTTCTAACGGAATGGTAAGACGACCTTGCATGTAAGGTGCCCGCTGCATATACCAGTCAGTACATAATCTGGCTACGTTAGTGTTTTAGCACATGCGCAATATCTGACCAGAGGAGTTATATTTTGTTATGAATATGCATTTAAAATGGTTAGGGGGTATCTCAGCATAGATTTCTGTAACAAATTCTTATCAGTAGACCTGTGTTTATAATTAGGAGAGCGCCCTAGACAGTAGGGTGCAAAACCCCTATACTTCATCCACTCCCGTCCTTGCCATTGCCTCCCAATTGTCTTTCACTCAGCCTCCTTCTTTTTCTATGTCACATCTAACTACCTCTGAAGTCTGTGTGTTATTTCAATAATAAACACGTACGTGCGTACGCACCCACGCCCAAACGTACGTGCGCTCGCACGCCCAAACGTACGTGCGCTCGCACGAACATACGTACGTGCGCTCACAAGCACACACGTACGTGCGCTCACACGCACACACGTACGTGCGCACGCACGCACACACGCACGCACACACGTACGTACTCACGCACGCACACACGCACGCGCGTGCGCACGCACGCACGCATACACGTACGTGCGCACGCACGCACACCCGTACGTACGTACGTAAGCACGCACGCACACACACACATACGTGCGCACGCACGCACGCACACACGTACGTACGTGCGCACGCACGCGCAAACGTACGTGCGCACGCACGCACGCACGTGCGCGCGCACGCACCCAGTGTGCATAATATGTTTATATGTATGTAGCAAGTGTAAACGTTTTTATATAGGCCTAAGTAATGTGCTACTTATCATACTTGTCCCAAAATGTTTATGAATTATAGTTAATTTCGCGTGATGTTCATGATAATTTGATATTTATGCTATCGTACATGTCCGCACATAATTATATTTATCATCGATCATTTGCGTGGAATTTTCATGCTGAGGATAATTATGACTTCTAATTATACTCTAATAATATGACTTCTATAATTATGCCTTACACGTAATGCAGTTGTTTTAGAATGTTGTACTACGTTAGTTTTATTTTCGTATCTTTCGCATTCTAACTTTCCACGTAAATTTTTGTAACAAACTACTGTAAAAACGCAAGTAAATAACTCACTACACTTTAACTGAACGTTAGCTTTGAAAATAAAACTGTAAAAATATGTATCAAGTCTATATTTGCTCATCGAAGAAAGAACTCGAAAAACGCTTTACGCCGCGGTTCCGTAGGCGCCATATTGTTTATATTTGAGCAACCATCATTTCAATCGAGTCAATGTAGCCACTTTCAGATGTCATAACTTTTAATATAAATCATTTTATGAAATCAAACTTTGTAGTCTAGACAGAGATCGAGACACCTCGACTGTTTATGTTATTAATTTTAGAATTTTTACCGTAAGCTTTTTGGAGATAGAACATACATACATAGCCTACATTCATACATACATAACACGGCCAGTGCGCGGAGCGGAACAATCGCCGCACATGCTAAGTGTTTTTTTTACTTTAAATCATGCTACAAATGTCCCCTTTGGCATAGAAGTTCCTTAGAACCCTTGGAAAAAAATTATCCAAAGACAAACGTTCTATCTCAAAATCCAAGATGGCCACCGGCGGCCATTTTGGAAAACTTGGTCGACTCACAACTCCTGAACCGTTTGTCATAGAAACTATTGTGACACATATTTTTTAGCCAATTTGAGGTAACTGAATTCATTTTTGACATTAGATTTATATTTGGAATGCGTTTAAAGATCAAATCTAGGAAATAATGCACAAAATTGGCAATTCGATGAAATTTATGACAACAAAATTTAGGGGCATTTTGATACTAGAGAAAGGAACTTAGACTTAGGCCATCCTTAAAAAATTCTATGTTTGCTGTCTCCCGACCCATGATTTTTGTAGTGGGTAGGTAGGTAGGGTCTTTTTTTTAGTTGGGG